ACCCAGCCCCGAGCTTGGATTCACTACCACTTGCTCAGCGAGTATTGCTTACTGATGACTGTGCACAGAGCACTTTGGAGTGCTCCCGCCTAGGATTAACACAACTTGGGGGAATTAGTGGCACAGTGCTCCGGTCATTAGAGTTGCTAAATTCTCAAAAATGTTTGTCATTCTTAACAGGCAACAGATTACCGGGACAGGCCCTGTCTGGGGGATGGAAAGGCAGCACACAGAGACTCTAGCAGAGCAAGTGGCTGTCAGGAAAAAGAAAAGATGTGTGTGGAAGAAATCACTCTTAAAAACCATATGAACATGCTTGTTGGAGCAAAGAGATCTTGCTTTGTGTGTTTATCTTCGTATACGCTTTCCTTTTTCAAAAATTTAAGATGGCCCAAGATTAAGATTTGTTTCCTTTATTTAATGGCATGGGTTCATATGAAATAAAGCCAACAGTTTAATTAGACATGGTTTATTTTATTTTTATCGATTACATTGCATTATGTGACACAATTTTGTAGGCACTGGGATTCCCCCAACCCCTTCCCAGACCCCCTAGACATGGTTTCTTGATATCTGTAATCGTTACACACTTTCACCTAGACACTATTGAAATGGCAGCAGTAACCTATAAAATGCTTCCAAGAAGATATAAGCAACAAATGTGGTGTCATTAGTAAGGAAAACCAGTGGTCCTTTGTAGGCATCAGAAGCTCTAATGGGCATGGTTGACCTTGTGTGTCTAGTGTATAGTTAAGGCTATTTATAGCTTTTTTAAAGGTTTATTAGGTGGGACACTTGGGATGATCTTGGACACTGAGCTGTTCAGCTCCATATTGACAGGTTAAGTCTCTACAACTTATTGAAACTTCTGTCCAGGAACGCTTTACAGTTTGTTACATGATATTTAGATGATATCATTAAGCAATGAAAATTTGTGGAAAATCTGTTTCTCATCGAGTAGCAGTGCTGAATATTAAGAGTTCATTGCTTACAGACTGTCCAAAGGCAGTGAAAAAAGGGGGGGGGAAGGAGTTTTCCAGTTCCCCCAGCCCTGTTCTTGCCAGAAGGAAGTATAGGGGTCTTAGATGCAGGCGGTGGGATTCAGCCTGTGAGTTGACCTGAGGTTTTTTTTAGCCCTGGCATCCTGTGCCCGAGTCACGTCCCATTGTCTCCCACCCCCAGTCTTACACACAGGTGGCAACAAGCCTGGGCTGTGTGAAGCAGAACCTTCGCAAGAGGAGTCCAAGTGGAGCCAGGTTCAATTCCCAGCCCAGCCACTTAGCTGTGACCCCTGGACAGGTTTCCCAATCCTCGTGCTCCTCAGTGCCTGTTGTGTGAAATGGAGATGGCAGTCCCTCCTGGAGAATCCCTGAGAGCTGACCTGGAGCACCGGGCCCAGCCCCCCATGGACACTGGACACTTCGGTTCTTCCACGGGCAGTCGGGAGCGCACTGCTGAGAGGACGGGAAGAGGTGGGCGACAGGAGGCGCCGGAGCCGTCAGGACAGGGTGACGCCTTCGTGGGGCGCTGTGCTCTTGTGGCCCTCCTGGTCTTTTCCTTCCCCTCCAAGAGGTGCATTTCCTCACCTCGTCCCTTCCCCAGATCTAGAAGTACTGTTGCACTTGCTGAGGAACAAGTGTGGAAAGATGTTAAACCGACTAGTAGGTGCTCGCGTTTCTGGAGGGGTTTTGTCGAGGAAGAGACGAGCCATGACCTCAGCGTTAGGCTGTCACTGGAAAACACGGTGTTTAAAACACGGTAGTACTTTTCAGACAATGCAGGTGATTTCAGCAAGTGCTCCATTTTCCTTGGTAGTAATCAAATCCCAAATAGCCCTAGGCCCTTTTCCTTTGTGAAATTGCGTGTGGTTGTGTTAATGGGGCCAGGGGACGGGCACTAGTTTCTCCATTCTTGTCTAACCCTTCTTGGGGACAAGTGAGAAATGTTGCACTTACGCTCCTAGACTGCAGCTGGGAGTTGGCGTTGACCTTGTTTGCGCAGGCTCTGTCCCACAGATAACTGCTGTGCTGCGGGCGGGGAAGGATTCGGAGCGGAGTGGCCGGTAGCAGAAGCACTGAGGCACTCATCTCGCCTCTGCACTGTGCTGGCTGCAGACGGCAGCCTTGGCAAACCTCTCGCTCTCTCCCCTCTCCCCTCTCCCCTCTTTGTTGTTTTCTGTTTGTGAACATGTCTTTAAGGGAATCGTCCATTCTGGATAGTGTGGCACATTCGTGCCCTTGAGGGTAATTTGCGAGGTAGTAGTAACTTGCTTTCCTTTCAGCTCATCCCAAGGTCTCCTTTCTACTCCAGTCTTGGTGCGTACTATGTACTGAACCAGGCACACATCTAATCTCCAGGTTTTAATCCCTTTGATTTTGCATCTCCAGATTCAGCCCATCAACCCCTACCCTAGCTCTGGAGGAGTCAGCTGCATATCCTCCGACCACTGACCCACTGTTTATTACATGTACTTGTTTGAAAGGCAGAGTTACAGAGAGAGGTGGAGATCTATCACTGGGTCCCTTCTCACATGGCTACAGTGGCCCTGGCTGAGCCGGACCAGAGCCAGGAGCTTCAGCTCAGACCCCAAATACGTGGGCCAACTTCCACTGATTCCCCAGGTGTATTAGGGAGCTGGAACTGAAGGCGGTAGCTTGACCAGCCTCAGCCCTGACCCCTAGAGTGACCTGTTCCCCGGGAAGACAGTCGTGTTTCTGGCACACCTCTCTTGGCTCGGTAGTGTTTGTTCCCTCGGGTTTGTTCTGGGTGATGTTCCCTGCGCTTTGCTGCCTCTCCTTGCTTGCACCCAGTCCTCCCTCCTTCAGTGTACAGCGTGATCCAAGAGACCACTTGGCTTTCAAGTCTTCCTCAGAGCTTCTTGCCCCTTCGGCGATGGCAGAATACAGTCCTTATGGGAGGACGCTTTACACTTCCCTACTATTTTCTGTCGATTCTCAGTCTGCTGGCCTGGACAGCTCCAGGGCGCCTCAAGCTCTCGTCATCTTCCACTTTCCTGACCACTTTTTTGTCAGCTGGGCTGAATGTGGAGCAGCCAGGACTTGAACATCATGTGAGATTCAGGCCCTGTAAGTCACAGCTCAGCTTGCTGCACACACACAGCTCCTGGCCTCCCAACAGGTACTTGGAGTACCTGGCTTTGTGCTGACTGTCTTGGAGACGGAGATGGTAAGAATGAGCTCTTTGCCATGAGGGAAGCTGTGGCTGGTTAGCAGTTACAGGGCATCCTAGTTTCATAGGTATGCTGAAGTGAGGTACATTGTGCAGGCTCTACACACGTGGCTTGTTCTTGAGGCTGTGAGTTCTCCGGGACCACAGGTGATGCAGCTTGCCTGTGGTTCACCCTCTGCTTGGGTTCCCATTTATACCCTCTTCGTTCCTGAAACAGGCTGCTTGGGGTCACACTTACTGGTCTAGTTGAAATGCCCCTTCAAGGTGTGGCTTGTCATAAAGGTGTAGTGGTTTATTTGTGTTATTAACTCTAGTTTTATTTGATTTGGAGCTGGGTATTGGTAAATGGATGGCAGCTTAACCCAAGGTCACGTGGCCTTATTAGCCCCTTGACTGAGGTGCTGCGTCTGCCCTGAGCGCTCACAAGCTTTAAAATGACTTCCTGTCTGTTGTTGTAAGAAACTGAAGAGAAAAACTTAGCTTTCACATTGCAAGTATCTGACCTGTGAGGGGCAGGGGGCCCACATGGAGGATTCCCCACTTCCCGCACATTGGGGAGGCGGCTGCGGGCTCTGAGGTGGCTGGTTTCCTAGCCGGGGCCTCTGCCGCAGGAGGCTCTTCTAAAAAGCCTGCTGAGATTGCCCCTGCGAACCCTGCTGCCCCATCCTGCGTCCTTAGCACCCAGGCCAGCCTTGATGCTGCTGTAACATAAGTATTGTGCCCTGGTAATCTTGCTTCGTCTCGGGAATCATGTCATGTACTTAGCGTGACATGGTTGTGTCAAAGGGCAGCCTTACTTTGTTTTTCCTGGGTTGATGTGTGCGGATCTTCCACACACTCGCCACCGTGCCTGAGCCAGATCTGCTGTGTGCGTTGTCTTCCCCCTGGTCGTCTCCATCCTGGGGTTCTGGCAGGCAGCTGTTTTGCCTAAGGACTGGTTTGGATTTTGAAAGCTGATGTTTGCAGTAGCCCCCTCCATGGTTTTAAATTGTGTACTGCACTTAGTAGCACAATGAACTGTCAGACCCTCCTATCCACCTTGACCAAGACGTTGGTCGCCCTTTGTCCTGTGTCTGTTCTGTCTCTCCCGAGCCATCTCAGTGAGATCTGGGGGCACGACAACAGCGCTCATACATGTCTCGGCCTGGAGGCACCTGCTGGCGAGGGTGGGGAGCGGGCTGCAGCAAGTGTAGAGAGGTGACGCACAGGCGTTCCTTTGTCTGTTTCTCCCTGGGGTATGTGAATGGTCAGGCATCATGAGCAGAGTTGGGCACCACTTAGAATCTGTAAACAGCAGTGCTCGGAGCCAGTGTCACTGGGAGCTTGGCACGATCTGGTGGTTGATGCCACAATGAATGCGTCGTTTGTCGTGGGAGCTCTTCCTGGTGACTGTCAGCCCTCACTCCCTTGGGAGCTGCTCTGAGCCCCTGGTACCTTTCACTCTTCTGGATGTGGTGCCCATGCCAGTCACAGAGCTGCAGGAGAGCAGACCTAGTCGGAATAATTAAATTGAGGAGTGAGTGTCACACTTCTAATTTCATTCTCTTTCCAGGGGATTATCAGTGTTCATTTAATAAAATGAGATTAACCCTCCACAACAGAATACTTGAAAGCTGTCTGTCAGTGTCATCTTGACAGCTCAGAAGGAGCCGTGTCCTCGGCAGCCTTGGGACCCACGCTGTGCCGACTGGGGGCCGTGTGTATGTTAGCACATGTGTGTCAGCAGTATCCAAAGTCGGGAGAGCAATCCAAAAGTGACCAAAAAATATTTATAAAGCAAACAATGATGTATCTGTTTTTGGCTATTTTAGGAAACCTCGCATCAATTCTCAGCTGGTGGCACAGCAAGTGGCTCAACAGTATGCCACCCCACCACCCCCTAAGAAGGAGAAGAAGGAGAAGGTAGAAAAGCCGGACAAAGAGAAAGCTGAGAAGGACAAGGAGATTAGTGTCACCAAGAAGAACACCAACAAGAAAACCAAGTGAGTTCCTGGGTGGCGAAGTGTGCAGTGTGTGGCTGGGCAGGTGGACCCAAAGGACCTGCTAAATGCTCTTTTGTATCCTCTCCTCTCTTCCAGACCAAAGTCCGACATTCTGAAAGACCCTCCTAGTGAAGCCAACAGCATACAGTCTGCAAATGCCACGACAAAGACGAGTGAAACGAATCACACCTCAAGGTACTTTGAAACCGAGAGGGGACCTTGCCCTTAGGATGTTGCTTCCATCAGTCGCGACTGGCGTGGTGGTTTTGTGCTTGCGGCTCACTACACCAAGCAGTGTGGAGGGGGAGGGCCAGGTGGCTGCTGACCTGGTTATTATTTTAAGCTGCCTTTGTGGTGTTGTGGCGCGGATCAGAGAAGGGCCAGCTGGCAGCAATGCCACCACGGTCCACGGGACTGCTGCTGCGGTCACTGCCCTCCGGCCGGAGCCTCAAGCCCACACTGCTTGGCAGCCACGGTGTCAACAACTGTACGCGTTCTTCCTACTCCACTGTCTTAATTGGCTCTTCTTTTTTTTTCCAGGCCCCGGCTGAAAAATGTGGACAGGAGCACGGCACAGCAGTTGGCAGTGACTGTGGGCAATGTCACCGTCATTATCACAGACTTTAAGGAAAAGACTCGCTCCTCCTCCACGTCCTCCTCCACAGTGACCTCCAGTGCAGGGTCCGAGCAGCAGAACCAGAGCAGCTCGGGCTCCGAGAGCACAGACAAGGGCTCCTCCCGCTCCTCCACGCCAAAGGGCGACATGTCGGCAGTGAACGATGAATCTTTCTGAAGTTGCACATGGAGTTGTGAAAACTATGAATCAGGGTATGAAATTCCAGTGCTCCACCTGCCCATGCTGCGTGCACCTGGAGCATCTTCTGTGGACACCGACCTCTTAGTGATGCTGCCATGGGCATCTGGCCACCGCGGGATTTCACACCCTGGCGATTACTCTTGACACTTTTATGTATTCCATTGTTTTATATGATTTTCCTAACAATCATTTATAATTGGATGTGCTCCTGAATCTACTTTTTATAAAAAAGAAAAAAATCTGCTGTGCACAATTTTCCATGTACATTACAACCGGTTTTTGTTTTGTTGCGGGGGGGAGGGCTGGGAGGGGGAGGGAACTTTTATTTATTGTGTTCACAAACTCCATCCTTTCAGCATATCCTTTTAAGTTTAGTTCTTCAAGTTATACTATGTACTATCAGTTTTGATATAACTATATATATATAAATATAAAATTATATCTAAAGGGTTATTTGAAACCGATCCACGGCAGCGCTGGTGCTTGATACACTGTGAAGTGAACACAGCATTGAACAGCCACACATCTGGGACAGGCTCTTCTATGAAAGTGCTGAGATCCAGTGAAAGTCAGTTGGACATGAAGTACGTTCCAACCCACGTGGGAACTGGACTCGCATCTGTCTAAAAGAGTGTACTGGACGATATAAAAATATATATTTTTTCAAACAATGTGATCTCAAATTTCAAGACTGCTCCAGATAGCCTGCATTTGCGATGGAATAACTGACAAATCACAAGTGGTTTAGTTGGGAGGGCTTTGGTCACTCAGAAGTAACTAAACCAGCTCCAGAATGCCAAGTATTCGTGTACATTACGGTTACATGTTAACATTGTTGTTCTTACATTAGCACTCATAAAAAATATATGGTATTTTGTCCCTCGAATTCCATCCGTGTTCCAGATCTCTACTCCTGTCTGAAGGTAAATCTAGAACTTGTCTCTTAGTTTTAGAATTGAACCAGTTGAAACTGTGTTTTTGGCCCATAGGAAGCAGCCCCTTGTCCCACTTCTCCACGCGGCCTTGCAGTGGCAGTTCCCTGACTGCGGCGTGTTCGCCTCCTGCCCCCTCACTCAGCAGACCCTCCCTCCCCAGTTGTGTTGTGAGAATCCTCGGCCTTTTCCTTCTCAAAGCCTACCGTGGTCTGTTTTACGGAGCAAAGGTTGTCCACCACACATCCCCTGCGACGTGGAGCTTCTCGGAGTGCAGAGACTTTTCTCGATTCCCTGCTGTACGAAGAACTCAAGTAGCAAATGGCTTGAGCTGCGGCCGCGGGAGGGGCAGGGAGAGCTCGCCTTCCGCCCGTGCTTCAGCTTTTCCCCTCAATGTAAAGATCACTTGGATACACTTTTTGAAGTTTTTCACTTTTTTTTTTTTTTTTTTTTTTGCCGCCCCCTTTACTGTCTTGCAAAAAATTTCAAGACACCTGTAGGATGATTCCACTTCCACTCATTCAAAAACAAAAATTCTTGTACTTGGCTTCTGTTTGGGTTTCGATTTGGATTCTTTGGCTTGCATTCATGCCAGTGAAGTGTGTAGAACTTGGGTGATTGCAAACAGCAGAACTAGCTGTCCCCTTCCTTTATTTGATCATACTTGAAGGGCTCACAGGAGGGCGGGTAATGCTCCCCGTGTTTTGTGGAGGGGTGGGGAAACCTGGTTTGCTTAACCAGAAGTAATTTCTTGACTGTGGAGGCAACAAATTAAAAACAATTAACAGCTTGGATTGAGTAGCCAACAGGAAAGGTTCCTTTCACATTTACATTAAAACTATTGTGTAGTCGCTGATTCCATACTTAATCCTGTTCTGGACGGTCTGGGTTACGAAGCAGTGCCATTGGTTGCTGTGACCCCGCTCTGAAATGCACGGACAATGTTCCCCCCCTTTTTAAAGTCATGCTTGTGTCTGGGACGCAAGCTATGCTTATCTTTTTAAATACGTTTTTTAAAGTATTTATTAATGAACCAAAGGAAATTAGATGCTTCCCATAAGCATCAGAATATATGAAACATAGTGATTTGACTATGAATTTTAAATCCGTGTTTTGATATTAGTGGGATATTGCAAAGACATTCCTTCTAAAATTTTAATAGTCCTTTTATTAAGGGTCTCAGGGAGGGTAAATTAGTCAGCCATATTTATTTTCCAGAGGTATAAGGAATTGCTAAGTTTTTTAATTAACTTTTTAAAAGAAAAAAACTTAAATGCCACCACCAAACTCATGTGGGTTGCACTGCTTTTTGAACCAATTAAGTGTTGGTATGCACTTTGTTCAGAAATACTGTGTACTTACTCAAAATTAGTTTCATGTAAAGTGATTGGACCCCTTAGATTAGTGGAAAAAGCTGATTAACCAGCTACTCATAGGCTGCTAATTAATTCATTGCCAATGTCTTGGTTCTTCAGTTTTGCCTCCATGATAAATTAAAGAATGGGGTGGGGTGAAGGGAGGGGGAGTAATAGCTCAAGAACGAGGAGGAGCCACAGGCCGTGCCCGGTGTCACAGGAGCAATCGGGTGGGCAGGGCCAGCCCCTCGGCCACCACTGTGCGCTCTGTTGGCGCAGTGAGGGGTGGGCACTGTGGGTTTTGGATTTCTGAAATTGATGACATCCCTCAGGCGTGCATTCTGGAAAAAAAATGAAGTTCCTGTAAACTTCTCTGCATTTGCAATTTGCCCTACAATTAGTAGGCAGTACACAAAAAAAATACTAGTGTAGAAGATGAAGATATCTTAAAAGAGGACCAGAAATACTTGGTATTCAGTGGCACAGAAAGCAGGTTACAAAGCAAAAAGCACAGTGTTAACGCTTGCAGTTTCCCGTTTGTTTTACTGCCACACCGTCTCACGTCTCCGTGTGCGTGTGCACACGTGCAGCTTACCTGACTTGCTCTGCTTGAGTCATGCAGCTTTAAAAACAGCGAAGACACCATGACACCCACGACTCGTGTGCATCAGAACCTTTCCGTTCCTATCTGATTATTTAAACAACATTGGCGGAAGCTTCTGTGAGTTTAGTTCCACTAAGATGTTTCACCTGCCTTATCAAGACCATTCTCAGTCTTTTTTAAGCTACCGTATCTTAAATTATTGAAAGTTTATTAATTGCTGAATATATAACCTTTGCTTGTATGTAACCGGAAATGGTTTAAGAGCCAACATTTAGAGTATGACAATGGAGCTGAACAGTTTTTAACGCGCAAGCAGTTCTGTTCTTGTGTATGACTTGTAACCTTAATTTACTGTGTAAAGATGGTTACATTATTTCCTTAGCTTTGTTTGTTGGAGACAAATAGAGAATGCTTGTTAAGTATGTCAAAACATAATCTTATCTTGTGAATTTTTGTCAATGTATTATACGAGCTATATTTTTTTTTCCTTTGCCCAGAAAGACAGCTTGTCTAGCGCTTCTGGAAGTTTCTGCTCTGCGGCGTCTTTAGAGCTGACGATCTGGTGGGTTTGGTTTTTCTTCATGCTAAAGTGTCAGTTGGTGGTTTTGTGAACTGGTCAGAAATTCACAGGTCTTAAAGGTTTGGGGGAGATTTCTATCGGACACTGCTCTTTGTCTAGCAAATAAAAGATGTTAATATATTCCTGTTACTGGCATGTGCACGACCATGTTATTAGAAGCCACTTTATCATTTTCCTGCTTTAAATAGAAATGTCTATTTATGAATTCTGCTTGTAGTTTTTTCACAAATAAAATAGTAAAATTTACCTTGGGAATTTATTTTTTATGTGTAGATGTAAGCCCTTAGACAAGAAATAGTGGCTACATGTACCCAGCCGTTGTAATGTGGGGTGTTTCCATTGTTTAGCATTTGAGGTGTTTTGTGAGAAAGTGAAGTTGCTTTGGCCCACGTGCCTCACGCATGCATCAGAAGACACAGGTGAGCAAGAGAATTGCCAAAATGTGGAAGAAAACGAGCTGCTGGCTCTGCGTTCTGCCGACTGGGTGTGGTGATGTGAAGTGCAGGTGGTAGCTAATGATGGCTTGTCCCAGGCCTTGCAGCAGCCCAGCCCCCTCCTCCCCCCCAAAGGTGGTTCCTCAAAAGAAAACCCGCTTAGGACCCCCTGTGCGTGAGTCCCCCTTGATGCTATAACAGGGTGGTACTGTTGCAAAGCCGTTCCCGCAGAGCCCACCGCTGGGCCATGCGTGCTGCACGCCAGTTCCTGGTGCTGTCAGCGAGTCATGGAACCACTTAGGAGGACCCTGCAAGATCCGTCTCCGAATGTTCTTTGCCCTGGGCCTGTACGCAAACCAGTGCTGTTGAGGGAGACAGGACTAGTGCAAGGTTCTGATTGGTGAAGCCTGCTGACACTCTGTTCTAGTACCCTCAGTGCCCGGTTGGTGTCCGGCCCCAAGTTCAGCTCCTCATGAGCAGGAGGGCTCAAAGGAGAGGGCTTGGGTAGTGTCTGATGTTTCCCACAGGAGTCTTTGGATACTAACGGGTAGTGATGCTCTCAGCTTTCTGTCGTCGGCACTGCTACCATCCTGCAGGGGATGACGGGAGCTGCCTCTTGCAAGTGTAGATGGGCAGTGAGTGCCCTGCCTCCTCGGTGGAAGAATGCAAAGTGTTGTGCGAAGAGTAACTGTTCCCGTACTGTTCCCATCCTGAGCAGGAATGGGAACCAAGGCTTCTCTTTGCTCCTCAGTGCAATGCCAGCAGCGACAAAATGTCAGCTCTCCTCGTGCACAATCCCATCCATGGCCAGGCTATGGTGGCTCATGATGGGGTTCTTTGTGTGTTGTGTTTCCTGAAAGATTTACTTATTTGGAAGAGTGACTGGTCTTACAACCACTGGTTCTCCTTAAGTGGCCCCAACAGCAAGGACGGGGCCAGGTGAAGCAAGGACTGCCAGTATTCCAGCCATCTGCTGCTTCTACAGGCACATTAGCAGGGAGCTGGAGCGGAAGCAGAGCAGCCGGGACTAGGAACCAGTACTCCAATATAGCATGTGATGCCACAGGTCAGCCCCTCACTGGGAGGAAGTGCCCAACCTGGCATGCTGCCGTCAGAGTCCAGAGGCGTGGAAATGTGAGCTCACGGGAAAGAAGACAGAATCGGGAGGCCCTTGGTGATGTTGCTGCGGCCTCCCAGTGGTCCCGAACAGCCTTGTTGGAGCCCTGAGGTATCAGTCACCGTTCGCAGGAACGGTTTGGAGCAAAGTCCTGGTTGCTGATCTGGATGGAGCTGATTGGGTTTCTGTCAGGAGAGTGCAATGGAACAGGGAAGGCTTTGGTTTTCCTAAAATTACCAAATGAGAACGGCCGGGATCTGGGTAGACCGCTGGAGCGGAAGGAGTGGAAGCAGCTGTTGGGTTCTGCCTAATGATTCACTTCTGTCCTGGAGATACCAGCAGGTGAGGCATGAGCTCGCTCTGGGGCCTGTAGTCACCGAAGTGTTACGCCCTGTGCTGTGTTTCAGAACGGGTGGGGACGAGTGTGAGGAAGGACCCAGGTCGAGCCTGCACCACTTCTGCAAGTGCTTCTTCCTGCCCCATCCCCAGCTGCGCCAGACATCACTGAAAAACCACAGTACTGTTGAGCTGACTGCAGGCCCCAAATCCTCAACACGCAGAAATACATGTTCTCCTAGGAAAAGCCCAACTGTCATCAACTCTTCCATTGTGGAGCCTACGAGTGCAAAGACGCAGCGGCTGGGAGGCCGGGAGGAGTCTGGGAGAAGGAAAACCAAGTGATGTGGCACGCAGCTCTTCCAAGAGCTCAGTTTCCCTTGGAGTACAGAGCCAAGCCTGGATCCCCGTCACTTGGGACAACCTGAAACCCTAGACTTAGTGCCTGCTAGCTGGCATGGCTATCTCACCTTGCAGGCCAGACCAGGACCTGCCCGGGCTGTTGCACCAGTTCTGTCAGCCTCGGGCTCTGAAGTAACAAGGCTGAACACCAACCGGATGTGAGTGCCAGAAACTGCAGGATGTACCTTACTGAGAGCTAGGCAAGACTCACCCTCTGCCAACTGACGGCGTGATGCTGGCACTCGCTGTCCTCTGCGAGGTGCAGGCCAGGGACCAGCGTCTGCTCCTTCTGGTGTGTTACATGTTCTGAATAATGAAGTGAAATTCCCTTTGGGATTTCTTCTGGAGCTTCTCCAGGTACGTCAGGAATGAATCTGTTCTGTTTGGGCATGCTTTAAAAAAAATTTTTTTTAAAACAAATATTTTCACTGGTAGGGCAAATCTACAGAGAGAAGAAACAAAAATCTTCCATCTGCTGGTTCATTCCTCAGACGGCCGAAATGGCTGCAGCTGATCCAATCCAAAGCCAGGAACCCGGAGCCAGGAGCCTCCTCTGGGTCTCCCACGCGGGTGCAGGGACCTGAGGATTTGAGCCGTCCTCTGATGCTTTCCCAGGCCGGAAAGAAGGAACTGGATGGGAAGTGGAGCAGTCAGGATAAAAACCAGCTCCGCTATGGGATACTGACACTTGGTTGTGGAAGATTAGCCAGTTGAGCCATTGTGCACCCCATTCTTTTTATGTAGTTGCTTTCCTGGCGCAGAGGAAGAAGCTGTCAAAGAGCACATGTCATCCGCGAGATCCGGGGGTCAGTTTTGCACAGCTCGGAGATGTTTCTGAGCCTGCGACCCGGCGTGACCGTGAATGTGGATTTTACTAATTAAAAGTTTGCTGTTTGGATGGAGTCTACTGTCCTGTTCTTAAAAGGGAACAACCTTAGAGCTGGCAAGGCAGTGAGCCATGCGCTGTGCACCTGCTGTCTCCCACCCGAAAATCACGATAAGCGTCATTTCCTGGGTTGCACTTACGCACACCCCATCTACACACATCTTTCTCAGAGTAGCGTCATTTTCATTCGTGCCTAAATCCATCAGAGCCAGCACCCAGCGACTGAAGCTACAGAACACCGGACCAGCCTGCCACACATGCCTTCCTGCCGTGGGACTTGTGGACGAGGCCTTTTGGCCTTAGTCTTCATTCAGTCATCAGGGCAGCCCTGCCACGAGGAGGTCCTGTGCCGCTTTGCATGCAAAGGACTTTATCCACAGTACCGTTAGCTGGCTGACTGAGACGCTCTCTACGTGGCAGGCATGTGAATCTGAGGCAAGACTAATGAATCCTGCTGTTGGCAATGACAAGCAGTGCCCAGGCCTGCGGAGCTGTCAGGGCACACACGAAGGCAGCCCCCCAGGTTGGGTACTAAGAAGGAGCGCTGTGAGCGGGCCCATGCAGCTGGCGGCAATCAGCAGCTGCCATGAGTCCCATGACTGTGGAACTCGCAAGAAGAGAGACCACGCACTGGTAGGCTGCTGAGCCCAGACGTCACCTGCAGAGCCCCAGGCCAGCCGGCCACTGCTCCCACGCCTGGGGAAAGCCTCTGCCCTAGGTCTCCCTCCCACCTCCAAGGACAGAGCCACCTGCAAATGGGTGGCCTTGGGAATTTTTGGCCGCACCATGGCCTTTCCTTCTTTCCAGGTCTGTGGCACTTTCTCACTTTGGTCCAACTCCACAATTGAGCTTATGCCACATGGACAGAAACCTTTGCATCAAAATGTAAGTAGTGGGCCTGACACAGTAGCCTAGTGGTTAAAGTACTTGCCTTGCAACCACTGGGATCCCATATGGGTGGCAGGTTGTGTCCTGGCCACCCGGCTTCCCATTCAGCTCCCTGCTTGTGGCCTGGGAAAGCTTGTGGCCACCTGGGGAGTGAGTCATCAGACGGAAGATCTTACTCTCTGTCTCTCCTCCTCTCTGTATATCTGGTTCTCTAATGAAAATGAATAAATCTTTTAAAAAAAAGAAAGTGTAAGTAATAAGATGGTCTACAATTTTGTGCATGAACTAAATCATTTAACCCTCCCTGCTACTGTCGAACACAGCAAGGGTCAGTACCTGTAGAGGGAACAAGAGTTTTTTTAAATAATTGAAAAAGATCTTTAAGAAAGGGACCAGCATTATGGCATAGTGAGTTAAGCCACCACCTGTGACACCAGCATTCACTTCTGATCCTGCTCCCTGCTAATATACATAGAACAGCAGAGGCTGGCTAAAATGCTTGGGACCCTACGCCCACATGGGAGACCCTGGCTCCTGGCTTCAGATGACCCCTGAGTCCATCTGGGGAATGAACCAGCAGATGGAAAATCTTTCTCTGTCTCTCTTGCTCTTTGTAATTCTGCCTTTCAAATAAAAATCAAATAAATCTTTAAAAATGGGAGAGGGGGAAATCTTTGTAACATTAAACAAATCATTAAGCTTTTAAAAATTTGTTTCCTCCTATAAAACAGAAAGATAAGGATTCCATGTGCTGGCAGACACTCAGAAAATTTAAATTCCTGCTCAGCCCTGAGAAACTCTGGGAGAGAAGTTAACAGTTCAGTCAGGGGCCTCGTTGTCACGGCCAGGACCCTTCACAGCTCTCAGGCATGGAGGGGAGGTGTGGCCTCCGAGCTGCTGCCAGGACCACAGCCCGCAGCCCAGCACGGGGCACGCAGTGGCCGCTGGCCGTCCGGGGGTTACTCAGGCGAGAGCTGGCAGAGTACTTTGGCTGTGGGCAGCCTCTCTGCTCGCTCTTATCCCACTTGCGCTGGGGCTTAAGTGACTCCTGGGCCACCTGCAGTTCTCCTTCTGGGTAGCAGGTGAAACACGGGGTGAGCCCAGGGCACTGACCACCTCAAGGCCTGCGACACTTGAAGATTGTGCTGACAAGAGTCTGTGGCTGCTGGAAGCAGGTGTGTGT